ATTAGCGTAAGCGCGTTCCTTCAAGAGATCGCCAGTCGGTGGCGATACCGCCACCTGAGTTTATCATTCATTCTTCGGTGCTAACACCTATCGGAGGTGTGTGAGTTAAGATTATACCCTTCTTGGCTGCCATTTTGAGCGTAGTATTCCGGCTACGGTGTCTGTGACTACTGTGAAATCCGTCATACGTTTAGGTTGTTGTCGTGGCAGTGGGAGTGGGTGACATTGGCTGGTCTTATACTGAAGTTGCAGTAGATGTGGGGGTTGTTGTGCACACAGATGGTGCTGTCGTAAAAGATGTCGGGATCCGTGCATTGGCGGCCTTGGGGGCCGTGGCGATTGTCTGTTGTGTGAGGTTCATGATGTCCGAGTAAGTAGCCTTATACCCCCCTTGTGTCCGAGGTATAGAGAGCGTCTTGGTTCCTTTGGACAAGATGCACGTGTGAGTGTTGCCTCGGAAGTGGAGGTCAAACCCCCCATCTTGTAGTTGGTTTTGAGATATTAGTTGTTGTTTAGCGGTAGGACTAATATAAGTAGTGCCATGTGATAGCAAAGTACCGCGTTCGTGGACTACGCATTCACTGTCATTTACTAAAAGGAGGAGGAATGTACCAGTCTCGATACGGTTAAGTAGTGATCGAGAGTTGGGGTGGAGTAGGTTGACTTTTGCGCCTCCATCGATAAGTAGGCTGTTCTGGTTGTGTTGTAGTGTCTTGAGTGTGGGTCGTAAGGATGTTAAATGAGGGTCGTTGTACTTGTAATTTTGTTTATTGTTACGTTTGTTACATACATCCTGCACATGACTAGTTCTGTTGCATATAGAGAAGTTTAGGCTAGTAGCAGTACAATTATCCCCTTTGTGGCTTTTCGCGCCACATTTCATACATCCTTAGGGCAGCTGTTTTAACGGTAGCTAGTGGTATAACATACGAAGCATGGGATAGGTAGACGATTGTTCGGCGGAGATCGGCGTAGTCGGAGACGATATTGTGGCCGACGTTTTGGGGCTGCTGTCTTAGGTATGGGATATGTGTTGACTAGGGGAGGGACTTGTTCCATTTCTCCAGGAAAACACATAAGTCAAGTGGTGTGAGTGATTCACGTTCAGCATTATTGACCAAATAATGTTTCATGAAGTCCTTGTCAGGATCACCGAGACCAAATATAAACATGCCCTGCATGAAGGCCGGAGAAAAACGGGTGCCTTGAGATTTTGCGTCGGTGCAGACACGGGCACAACGACGAGATCAATGGCGGATAGTATCGTCGTCGGCTCTACGGAAATCTTGTAGGAATTCGAGTGTAATAGCGTTCGATACATTTGTTGACATATGTGAGTATGATTTCTTTAGGTAGAATAGTAGTGTCCAGGGGTCGTTCATAAGTTCTTCCATCGTAAGGGAGTCCAGAACATCCTCGCTCAGGGATCGAAGCAGGCATCGTCGTGGCTTTTGGTAGAACCATCATCCTTGGTGCCATTGATGTAGATTTAGCGGGTTTCCAAACGGCCCCGATCAGTAGCTGGTGTTCGCTTTTCGACGGGTGTAGCAGCGGTTTTCGCTAAGAGTTCATGCTTAACATATTTATAGTTAAGTACGGATTCGATGTCGTCGACATAGTCGGTGTTGGCTGCAAGTATAAGATGCTGGTGCCATTTGTCATAGTTGTCGCATGTGATGTTCAGGTGTGTACAGACAGAAGCTTAATAATTTGAACAAATGTGAAGGTGTTGGATAAAAATGCCCATAACCTGTAGAAGCCAAATAAAGTTCTTGATCTGGATGGGTGAGTTTATTGGGTTGATGTCAGACTGATTATATAATTATAGTCTAGGTGTCAATGTAAGAACCACCATCCTCGTATGTAAGGGCTGAGGTTCGTTCCTTAGAGAGTAATTCCTAAATATTTATGAAACATCGCAAAATAAATAAATTAGCGACTTCCATAGCCTTCTGAAAATAGAACATGATTTCATGTACAAATGTTCTATTTTTAATATATATATATATAATTCACTGTTTTTCATAGCCTCCTAAAAAATAACAAGCATATTTTGTTGTTTTTTGAAAGAAAAAAATAGATAAACAAAATAGCCTTCTGAAAATTGAACATTTGACAGGTTCAAAATGCCGATGACAATTGACAACCATGATGATGATGACACGGAAAAACACTATTTACAATATATAAAATATCCCCTCCCCGTCCTTGGACAGTGGACAAACGCGTAGCAATTTGAATTATATCGATGACTGTATTTAGCAGCAAAGTATGTCTGTACTGTACTATCGTATTGTAAACATTTATAAATTTCAACAGCTTCTGATGTGAACTGCCTATGTACAGTAGAGATAACAAGGTACATCCAGTGTCGTTTAGCGTTTTATAACAATCATACATAATTCACACATCTTTCTACACACACTCTAGTATATATATATATATATATATATATATACGTACATACATACATACATACATACATACATACATACATACATACATACATACATACATACATACATACATACATACATACATACATACATACATACATACATACATACATACATAAATACATACATACATACACACACACACACACACAAAAAAATAGATATATATATATTTGCTTATATTATATATATATATAAAGTATAAGCATATATATAAGCATTTATATATATATATATATATATATATATATATATATATATATATATGTGTGTGTGTATGTATGTATGTGTGTATGCATGTATGTATGTATGTATAAATATATATATATACGTACGTACATACATACATACATACATACATACATACATACATACATACACACACACACACACACAAATAGATATATATATTTGCTTATATTATATAT